GGGGGGGGGTACTTCCTCTGTCATTTTACGATAGGACGCCTGAGTGGTCATTTTCACCGTATTTTCGTCGAAAAAAACACTCTATCGCCCAAACGGAGCAGGGTAGAGTCAAACGGACCAAATTGTAGGCCAAATGATACTACTCTCATAAGTTATCTATTAGGAGACCATAAAAAAATATTTTGTTCCTACTTTTTGGACCAACACCTATTTCTTTGTTACCCCCTTTCATCCCCTCAGGGGTGGTTGCCAGGATTTGCACTAGGTGTTTTGTTGTCCAGAAGTGACCCCTAAGATACCCTGAAATTTGTAGACCTCATCTCCTTCCTCTTACACACAAGACGGACAGACAGACGGACACTCAAGACCTACCAGTCTATTCAGAGCGAGACGAACGAGCAGCTCTTGAAATGAAAAGGAAAGAAATTCTAAATTCTCAACTCGTGAAAACCAAGACCAAGAGGCTCTGTTGAAGGAAAAGCCCCGGTCCGTCCTCACACTGTAAAAATCGTGTTCATTCGACCACCACTTTGCACTTGCGTGCAGCAGGCGCTTTCCTTTGTGAGCAGTAACGCGGGTCACGGCTTCCTCCAGACTCCTTCAAAACAACGATTGAGGGGACTTTGGCCCCGCGAATCGCCTGAAAGTGGGCGAGACGTGCCTACTCCCTATAAGCAAATGGGGGGGGGGGCTAAATTTTACTCGCTTAGCCGCGTGACCCGAGTACCCGCCCGCCCGGGTAGGAACCGGGTAAACGGGTCTTGCCGGGTAACACGGGTTTACTCGGATACCCGGGTAGACCCGGCGGAACAGCGCCTGTAGGTAGGCAATTTTACATACCGGGTCTACCCGGGTACCCGCGGGTCCGGTTTTTGAGAGCACTACTTGGCGGCCGGGCTGGGCTAAGGTCTCGCCTGCGCGCGAAACGCCAAGCACAGATGCACAGAATAGTGTGGCTGAAATCTTGCATTTGCTGGACCCCTCCACTGCGTTGCATACATCGACCTCAAGATTTTGATACGGTACAGGCAATGTGGGACGGGAGGTCATCTTGAAGGCCTTTGGTACCGAGATTTGCCCTTCAAATAACCCTACCCTACATCTGTTTTTTTCGGTTCCATACTTCACGAGATACAAAGTGACACCGTTCGAGGGAGCTTTAGCCTCCTCTGAAGGCTGCTGTTGCGCAGGGCAGGTCTGCTCGCTGCAAGGCCATAGCGAAAACTGATCAGTGCAAGGCAACAGAGGGTGGGCAAAGAGGAGGGGAGGGAAAAGGGGTGGGGAGGGGAAGGTGAGACTTCGACCGAATGCGACCGCTCTTCTATTATCCCACTCTCCCTTTTGGCAGCTCAAACTGAAAGTAGGGTCATATGTATTGCGATGGTCGCCACATTTATATCCTGATATATATATATGATACACAAATACATGTGATAATTAAAAAGAAAAACACTTTACAAAGTTAAAACTTAACCTTTCGATGTTCGTAATCATTTATTTAAATAAAAATAAGACAAACTGGGAAATTTATAGTGCACACTCATACACACGCACACACACCACAGAAATGGAAGGCACAACTAAAAGAAAACAGCAGATGCCGTCTCAAAAGTACATTAGAACTACTGCTGTTAAGCCTTTAAACACAAAAGTTGGATTGGCAATGTTATAACATTGGAATATATTTGAAATACAACACCACGGGCCACCCCATGGGTAAATCAAACATAACTGTAAAATGTGTGCAGTTTGTTAATTCTACGGCAAAGGCAGTGAAATGGAATTTTAAAAGCAACCTGCCTCAAACAACCAGCTGGTCTACAAAGTCAAAGAACTTAAGAAAAATACCTCAAATTTTCTGATTAATATAAAGTACAGTTCACAAAATGACTACAAAAATGATACACATGACAAGATTCCTAAACAGAATCTGGGTATTTTATCCAAGAAGAAATGAAATTCATTCTTCAAAGAAGAAAATGATCAAGTATAAAAACATATTCTACATAAAATCAATTCAAATACTATAAAATGCAATGAGGTACATGTGGTATTTCTCACATCAGTCCTAGCAAAATTAATTAAATTTTATTCTGTGTGATATCAATTTCTAGTATGTATTGCTGCATATTAGGTAACTTGTCACATTGCACCAAATACTGATTTAGAAAGAGGAAGTACAGGGATTATCTTGGAACTAAAACATAGTACGAAAATAGTTGAATGGATTCAGGCAGTCACCATTTCATTAGCAAACTATCACATTCATTCAGAAGGCACATCTCACATACTCATCCAATCTACAGATGTATCAGAAATGATATTTTCTTGAATGTATACAGTTTCCACAATATCTGTAGCTAAGTAGATTATAACACAAATACGTCTCACAGAACAAGGAATCAGGCAAATGTTACTGTTCTTTGGCTCTGATGGATAATTCATATACAGATTCCATGAAAGAGAGACCCAATTATGACTTAGAAGTTATTTCCACACTGCATGAAATGGTACAAATTGAGTACGTACAAATACGATAAGTGATCTGATATTCAATACTAGAAATAAGATGGGAACTGAAAATAAATATAAATGATATTTAGTTATACTTCAAATTCTTGACTTTCTTTACTGCAGCTTTTTCAAAACAGCAGTATTTTTTACTTCATTAAACCATCAGCATGATGTCTAACTGGATGGTTTTAAAACCTTGCAAAAAGTAAAAATGTCTGGAAGAACACATTTTCATTTAAAGAAAAAATATATACCATCTCAATACACAACCATTGAGGTGAAAAATCTGGAAAACACAACAGGGAGCTAAACGATTCAGAAAAGACACTGTTTAGCATACAAAACATTTCCACATGAAGAACCACAAACATGATATAATGAAGCACAAATTAATAGTCACAACCACTTCTGCTCACCCACAGTAATCATTCGACAAAATTCAAAATTTGCATTTCAAATTACGTAAGAATCCATCCAAGATGATTCCATGAGTACTACGTAGTAAGGACAACATTATCACAGAACAGCCATGGACCTCAATTTCACAGTCCAGATTATTTCACAACACATACACATCCCAAATTAATCAACAACAACCCCATCAGATGGCTGATTAACATTTCAGCTTGTGATTTGAATTAATACAAATCTCATGGATAAGGAATTGAGCAAAGTTACATCAATTAATACTTTCAAAACTCACAAATTTACCTAAACTGTTTTAGAGCCTAAATGAATAAGGACCCAACAATTATTTATTTCTGTTCATATCTCATTCTGATTTGTTGCTGCTTGATTTCTTTTCATCCTGCAAAATATTTGTAAGTTTACACATTAATTGAATGTTACAAGACGTGGAAAACAAAAAAAGGGGCAAAGTGTTAGAGGTTAGATACAAACCTTATCACTTTGTTGGGTGAGCCGGCCACCAAAAAGAGCGAGCAAAGTATTATCCTTTAATTTTTGGGGTATAACCATGGAAGTGGTGATCAAATTCCCAAGGAATAGGATAAAAAACAAAAATGATGTCACAGGTACCTGAAAAATAGAGATAAAAATATAATCAAGCAGCTTTAATCAAAACTTAGTACAAAGTACACTAGATACAATTTAGATCTACATGATTTACGCATTTACCTGCCATGTAGCTTGTTCGTGGAAAGAAAGTTTGTAAAGCGTATAGGCATTATACACTTGCAAGACGTAGCCAAAGTAAAGAAAGGGAAAGAGAAAGCTAAGCCCACGCCACATCCAAGAATGGAAGCCTTCAATTGTTATATCCATGTTATGTCGTTCACCTAATGCCTTCAGCCGATACAGTACTCCTTGTTGGTATCGGAACTGAAGGTATTGCACACAACCTGGAAAAAAACATGCGTAAAGAAAGTAAGCAAAAGAAAACACAAAGCAGTTAATGTATTAGACTACAATTATGAAACTTTGTCTCCTTCACACAGATACATACTGATGTACAAGTTGAACCACATGAATTGTGGTCGAAACAGATACCAAGCAGTATTATTGGGCCAAATTAATAATACACCGGACAGTACAGTTGATATAAAATGGTGAAGGCGCCACCAGCCTTTGATACGAGAGCCATTCACCTTAAGTATACTTTCTCGTATGGTGAGAGTACAGTAGTACCACACCAACAAGAAGAGAAAAGCAAGTTCCAGAGCCCTGAGAAATATTGGTAAATTCTGTATTAAGACAATGTTAAAATTGATAAACAGTATTTAAATTGTATAGTCATAATATTTACCTCACATTCGTAAGTATGTTGATAACAGAAAGAACAAAACCAATAACACTGAGAATTAGTTTGAACTTTTCATACTCATCCTTATATTTGAACCTGCAAACAAAATGCAATCTTGAAAATGAAGAAAAACAAGACATTTCTTTTTACTTGAAAGATACTTCAGTGAAAACTCACTTGTCGTTCTTATTCAATATGGAGACATTGACACTGCCTAATATAATTTTCAAATAAAGGCCATTCTCTTTGGGAAGAGTCTGTTCTACTTCTGAAAGTTGGACCTCCCTCCGAGCAATATCTTTGTTCATCTTTTCAAGAACTTCCTCATTGACATTAGTCTGAAACCTAAGAAATGTTAAGGATTAGTAAATATAACTTGACAAATACATTTTATTTGAATAATTCGACACTCACTTTTTTAATGAACGCTGCAGAGTAGCCATTCTGTAATGATGATGTGCTAATTCCTTCACACATTTTCCTTGAAGATCACCCACTTCGTCTAATTTTTGTAGGTACTCCTTGTTGGCAGCCTGAAAATGTCTTCTTTTTTAATTATCCAGTAATGACACCGTCATCACAGACTAGAGAAGTGCACATTTCAAGTCTCTATGGTACAAATTTAATCTCAATATATTTAGGAGCTACACATAAAGTACATAATATCTGAATGACACGAAATTGACAACAATAAAATTTTTAAGTAATAAGAGCATATTTAAAATGTTTAACCTCTATGAAACAGACAACTTCAATCGCCAGTAAAAGAGGTCAACAGACATTGGACGCTATAACAAAATTTGTGTTTGGAAAAATTCACACGTATGATTTTACAAAACGTAAATTTTGAGATGGTACTCATAAAACTCACCTCTAAAGTTTTGAACTCTGCCGATAAGTCTTCCCAGTCCTTCACACAAGCATCGAAGTCCTCGAGATCCATGGTGCTGCGCTTGATTGATTTAATTCGATTTGTTCAGCCAGACAACAGATACATACTTTGCGGGAGGGACGAGAGCTTTCCCAAGGGTTTTCCTATCCAGAGGACTTAAGTGAGAAAATTTTTGAGGTAGGCTCTTGGCAGCTGCATAACCGTCGACTCTGCCCTAACTTCTCTAAACTTGCGGAGGGGAGGAGTGGAGGGAGTGAGTCCGAATGTTCGGTTGGCCCGCCGCTCGGCTCGGCGCGCTCGGTCGGCTGCCCTGTCCGTGGCGAGCCGCTCCGTGCCTCCACGGCTCCACATTCACATTGGGATACATCCCCTCGACTTGCGCGGGACGACAAGCGGTCTTCCCCGAGTGGCCGCGAGCCAAAGCTGCGTCGAGATACGTGGGTGCAGTGGTGCCTTGGGTGCATGAGCATGCTTCTATGAGAAAATAGTCAACTATCGTGGCTGTGATTGGTCCAAATCTCAATTTTTCTCACACTAGCGGACTAAGATACCCAAGGCACCCAACACACCCACGTATCTGGGCGCAGCTCTAGAGCACTCTAGAGGCAGACCCGTGGTAGAGCGACAGGACCACGTCAGGGCCCACGGCAAGACTCGGGGCAGGACCCCACTAGCATCTAAGGCACTCTGTTAAAGTGTGAGACTGTTAACTTCAGCTACTGTGGGACTCCCTAGTGAGAAATGATCAATCAAAAATACATCAAATTTACCGTAAATTTGTCAAAATATCATCAAATTAGGGGACATATTTTAATCAAGATTACGTCGTTGACGTCGAATTAATGTGTTTTGAACTGATCATTTATCACTGGGACGGCGCCACCGCCACCAATTAAACAATTAAATTACCTAATGTAGAACACCCAGTGCCTCACATTGGGTCAAGTAGAACACACATTAGGTAATGTGAGGCACCCGCAAGCACCCGACGTTTTATCTTATGTATGATGCAGGCACTGCGCTGGATTTTCTACTTTGTCCAATGTGAGGCACTGGGTGTTCCACTTTGGCTAATGTGAGGCAAAAGTGCTAAGTGCTCTCCATCAGCTAATGTGAGGCACCGTGCCCCACGTCAGCTAACGTATAACAGTGTCACACCTGATCAAACATAGCAATTTGCACTAACAATAGGCCCCTCTGTATGTCGGCAACCAACGGTGCCCGGCCAGCCGAGTCTTATACCGCACCTGGGTCTTCTCTTGCCTCGAGTCCCAGGGAAGTCGCAGCAATGTCCCAATGTGAATGTTGAGGCTTGGGGCGGCTCGCCACGAGCAACACAACGCTCACCAAGCAATCGGTGGCTGACTTCGGACACAGTCGAGTTTGCTAGCGGTGTGTCACCGTGCGACAGCGCTGAAGCGACAGTCATTCGTCCGCCAATCAGAGGAGCGGTAGGCGTTGGAATAAAGAAGTGTGCGTAGTTTCGTCACCGCTCGCCGTTCCTTGATAGTTCGAGACCGGTCAAAGGTGCTGAATTACGGAGCGATTAGCGAACGGCTCACGGCGGCGGCGGCGCGGAGTGCGGAGGTGCCGCACGGTAAAAACGATGTCTCATTTTGAGAGGGAAAAGGGAAAACTTTGAGGGACTCCCAAATTTGAGGAAAACTCCTTCGATCTCACCGCAGATTTCGAGGAATCTTCTCAAACAATGTGGAAAAATCCCACATTGATTTCCTCGAAATAAGAGAGTTCCTCAAAGTTTTCCCTTTTTCCTTAAAAAACGAGACATCGTTTTTACCGTGCGAGGCGAGCCCGCTAAACGCTCACTATCATCGCGAGGTGCGGCGGATCAGCGCGGGCCGCGATGGTGCTGCTGGTTGCTGATTCGGGCGATAATTTGAATTATACACACAAAGCTAAGTTCGCGTGATGGCAGCCTAGTCTGGCTGGACCGTGGTGGTTGGTGGCCGGGTACGCCACTAACGCCTAGGGAGAGATACTTGAACAAATCTTCGGCACATTTACGAATTACCACATTAAATACGCAGAAAATGTGTTACCGGAAGGTGGACCCACAATGGTCACCCATCACACCTTCACTGTTAGTCGAAATGTATGTATTTTCATCCGTTCGAGGCAGTGCAGGATAACTGCCTCGATCGGCGGTGTTTTCTGCCAACTTTCCGTATTTATATCAGTCATGTAATCGTAGCATGGCGGATGTGCTGTCCGTCCCCACCTGAGGTATTTCCATCCGTTCATACCGCCTGCAGGCATCGCGTTATCTGCTCGTGCAAAGTTTAATGTTTGTATTATCGATAAATAAAGTAATATATCAGGTCAGGCTAAATCGAACAGTGGTCTTGGGGTGTTAGAAACGAGGCGAAGCCAAATCCGCTGTCTGTTTTGAC